CGTACACCCTATATTTATCTTGAACAAATCTAGTACACATTGGGATGATGCGCACATTAGTTATTAAGAATAAGGGAATTATAAGGAATTATACATACAGGAGCTGCTTAGCCTTGGAAACCCATGGCACGAGTCTCCTGGTGCACAGTTTTCATGCTGATGTTAATACCAGAGGACGTTTGAACTGCAGTGCGCTGACTACTTTAACGCACGATGCGCCTCAGCCCTCTTGTGCACTTCACGGCTGAGTGCTTGTGGTCCCTAAATGCTTCCACTTTGCAATAACACCACTCACACGTCATTATGGAATGATAGGAGGGAAGAAATTTGATAAACGGTCATGCTATTACAGTGAACCTTTCAGGAGGACCCCTTTCTTCACAAACATTTATAAAGGCAGAGCACGGCTTCGTGCTCGAGTTCACACACCTGTAACAATGGGGCTGATGAATCTGGAAGCGTGATAAGCATTGTAAGGTGAATTTTCTCTGACATAATAAGACTGAATCCCTAGAACAAGCAAAATCCTAGATAGCCCACTGTAGCTACTTTACTGAAATGAAAAAGAAATTGGACTACTTCAATGATAATTGTAGAGTTAAGTGAAAAAAACAAAAACAGAAAAACAAAACAAAGCACTACAGTGCCATGTTAAGTACTTGGTAATGGTTTACTATTAAAAAACAAACAAAGAAAACCCTCAAGATGAGTCATGTATGGTTGCAAGTATACTGTATTTTAAAGAGAGAACGCTACAATACAGAAGCAGTCGTTGGTAGTAGTAACACATTCGGCTGAGGGCCTCTATAAGGGCAGAAGGACTTTGTATAAAGCCCAAGGTGCTGATGTTACTTTCACATTATTTTACATCAGGATTTTTAGTCAATGCAGCTTTGAGGTATCGTGAGAACTGTGTCAGGGGCTGTGCGGTGCCTGGGCACATGTCAAAGTTCAGAGTCATGTTAATCTCAGTCCATGCCTTGCTCTGGATATTTGAAAGTCAGTACTAAAAGTGACTTTTACTGTCAGAGCTCCGAGCTGAGGAGCGTCTCCTAGGATATCTTACCTGTTATCTTAGATGCGTTTTTTTAAACTACCCAAATAAAATATTTCGTACAATACAGTAACTACTCAGAACTGAATGGAGTGTAAATACATGTCACTACTTTAGACAAATCTTTTCATTTGAAACAGATTGAAAAAAGCTTCATTACTGTGTTGTTGAAAGCAAATTCTGAACAGTTTTATCGTTCAGTCTTTCATAACAAAACCTGATTTGAGATAACACCATTTTAAATCCTTCAGAAGTGCATATACATGAGAACGAAGAGTAGCAGGACATCCAATCCAATCCAATTTTATTTATAAAGCACTTTAAAATACCCAGCACAGGAACAAAGTGCTG